TGTTTGGCCTCTGCCTCCTCCACAGGAGTTTGCTCCTGGAGAGAAGGTCTGAACCCACGCAGATCACCTGAATGCTGCGAGGGTCTCAGGGTGCTGCTTCACCAAGCCAGAACAATGCACACCGCAATGCCAGTCTGGATATGGCCCCACAAGCCAGGCCCCACTTTGAAATTAGGTGATAGTAAATACATTGACAATGGCAGGCTATTCCAACCACATGTAATGTCACTAGGCCACAAGCCCATCTAGGACCAAGCCAAGCACGGAGATTGCCCTAAGACCTTGAATAAATCCTGCCTCCCTCCAGTTCTCCTTTGTCACCCTTCTGGAGCAGCTGTCTCTGATGACCTTGGCTAAAGCAGGGCCCCCTCCCTCATGCCACTTGCTACCCCATCATCCCTGGCATTTATAACTCATGGTTAGTGTCACTTATCGTTTATATGTTTGCCTGACGCCCACTAGAATGTAAACGTTACATCCCCCTTGCTTAGAATATCTGGCACATAGTAGGCATTCGATAAATATTTGATGAATGAATGAATAAATTAGTTAGTAAATCAATTTTTCATTTGCATTTGCACCCGGGGAAAATGATAAGCTTTCGGCAAATACACAGGTTTCTCTTGAGCTTAAGCACCCGGGACAATAGAAAGAAGGGCTAAGAGATAAACTGATAAGATGTCACGGGAAAACAACAACAGGATTGATGCAAGGGGTAGGCACTTACTCAAAGCCCCGTGTAGGCATGGTGGCCATCTTCCAGTCCCATGGGAGGCGCCATGACCCACTGCAGAGCAATTAACTAAGCACAACCAGAGGCTTGAGCTAGAAGCTCCCACTTAGGCAGAAGCCACAAGGGAAAGGGGCAGTGGTGAGCGGACTCCCTGGGAGAGGGCGGTAAGGAGGAGGTGCAGTCCAGGAGGCACGGAGGAGGGGGGCCTATGGCCATCACCTCCTGATTCGTTATTCCCATCAGCTGTCATGGAGCCTCCCAAAAAGCCATGCTCTGCTCCGCCTTCCACTGTGGGCAGCAGCAGGAGGAATGTGAGGTGAGATTTTGGAAATCTGTGCCCCGCTGGGAATCAGTTCCATTTCGATTTGAAAATCAAAAAAAAATAATAATAAAAGTTAAACAAAACATAGTTCTCTGATGCAGATGAGAGTCATCCATTGCTCATTTTTGTCTTCCCGGAAAGAACAGAAACCAAACATGCTCTTTCCCTGTTTGGGGGGGAACATTTTTACAGGCTGGCTTTTCTTGCTCTCTTTTGAATACCTCGAGCAGAACACCCCTCGTGTTGTTAATGACTTCAAAGATACCGGGTCCACTGTGCGGCAAGTGATAAAAATGTACACAGCATGTGTTGGATAAATTAATAAACTCTCCAGAGCCTCCAAGTCCTCGGGCCCAGCAGCACCGTAATGAAATGTTATTCTGAAGTGGAGGAGGTGGGAAGGAGAAAAAGGGGAGCAGTATTTAATATATGCAAATTAACTAGTATGCAAATTGCCACTAAGTTAAAAATAACGGCCTGCAAAAGGAGCCCATTTTTTAAGCAGCTTGTTTATTCATTAACCTAATTCCCATTATCAATCCTTCTGTTTTCTTCTTTATTAAGTAGTCACATTTGGGGAAGTTTGCTTCCTACAAATTGTTTTGCTCCAAAACCCACAACACCGGTGAGAACAATCACCATACATTAGCTTTTCTCCCTCTCGTTCTTGATTTTGCCCCTAGTCTGCATTTTCTTTCTTTCTTCCTGTCCCTTTCCTTTTGCCTTTAGTCTCCTTCCTCCTGTCATCCTCACTTGCCTTGTTTCTCCAACATCTTTTGTTTCTCCGATGCATGTGGCTCCCTGGCAGGTATGTGGGGCCAGGGTAAAGGAAGCCCCCTGTCTCGAAAGGTCTTACTCCAGGGACCTTTTCTCCCAGCCACCGGCCCCATGGGCTGGACTGTCAGATACAAAAAGCACCAGAAGCTGTCTCCCCATTACCTGGGGGCGTGGACAAGCATCAGCCTCCCGTCAGTAACATCAGAACAGCCAGAACAATGCACACCCGATTCCGGTCTGTATATGGCCTCCTCTGCCTCAAGACAGACCTTACACAGTGTTAAGACAAATTGGCAGCCAAAATCGTCCTCTTTTGTCTCAAGAAACAACCACCTTGCTATGTGCAAGCTCTGGTGCCCCCTAGAGGCTGAGGACGGTATAGGGCGCGGGGCTGGTAGCGGCGAAGGCAGGGCGAAAGCAGGGCCGGAGGAAGGAGCAGGGAGTGTTCTCCCACACAAAGCCTCTGGCTGCAGTGTACCTAGGGGGCACATCCAAAAAGTGTGGGCACCCACGAGCAGCTGGGGAAGGGGCTGGAGGTAAAGGCTTTGCCGATGCTGCGCCTGAGCTTGCAAAGCTGTGTTTTTGTGTTTAACTGTTGTCATTTTTCACCGGATTTTTAATCTCATAGTTATTACAAAGCATCAAGATTTTTTTTTTTTTTTAACCAATCGCTTCTCTGTACAGGGTGCTTGGCTACGGCTGTGCAGAGCTGCTTGTGCCGACCTGCGCTGCGGAACGTGCGATCTTAGACACACAAGCACCCCGCCCTGAGGCTCAGTCTCTTGAGGGAAGCTGCGGTGGAGGCCCTAATGCAGAATCTCAGGGCCGGCCTTGCCGGGAGCCCTTACTCCACAGCAGGCTGGGCTGCGAATCAGATGCAAGTGATTCAACGTGAACACATATTCCCTGAGCAAATAACTCAAATTCCCACTCCTTCCTGAGCTCCCAAGTTGCTACTGCTTAGCATTCTCCTGGGAAACATGCTATGTCAGAGCAGGAACCACATTCTTCAGGTCTCAGCTCAGAGCCAGAGCTTTGTCATCCCCCCTGCCGAAGCACCTATTACTCTCCGGCAACCATGTCAAATGTGAAAGGTCACACTCAGGTGGCTGCCTGGCATTTTTCTTAGACAGCAGACAGCTGGGGAATGAATTTGCATCAGCTCCTAAACCTCCAGCCTGCACTGCAATCTCCCATTGCTCTTAAGGGCCAGAAATGGTGTCAAAAGGCTAAAGACCTCAAAGAGGCAGGCAACATCAGAAACAGTCTAAGCCTGAGATGGAGCCAGAAAAATAAATCATTATCATTTAAGCCCTGCATGTTCTTATACATACTGTCTTTGCAATATTTCCATAGAATGAGCATATAAATCACCCTGCTCTTGACATTTTTAATAACTTTAAGAATGTGGTTAGGGTAATACTTAACTTTATTGACATATTGTATGGTTCATCCATCTCATCAAACCTCAATGAAACTTCAATGAATATTAACTGAGGACCCATAATGTACTAGGCACTGCTTAGAGAATACCCCGAACAGTCCCTGTCACCCTCCAGGAGTTCAGACTCATCGCCTTGACTCCTGTCTGGGAATCAATAGCCCACAGGGCAAGACTAGATGGAGTTGGGTACAGACGATTCAGCTTCTAGCTGGATGATCTGGCTAAGCCAACCCCCTTTAAATGATAACTGTGGCATATTTTACAAAGGGGTAGGAGAGCTTAAAAAGGAGGTCAAATAATTCGAGGAATAATGGTGAAAATATAGACTCATTTCTCAAATACTACCTCTAGGAGACACTCTTTGGCATCTTGCATTCTTTTTGTTTTTATTTTTTTTTAATGTTTTATTTATTTCTGAGAGAGAGAGAGAGGCAGCGTGATCAGGGGAGGGTCAGAGAGAGAGGGAGACAAAGAATCCGAAGCAGGCTCCAGGCTCTGAGTAGCTGTCGGCACAGAGCCCGATGCGGGGCTCAAACCCAGGAATGGTGAGATCATGACTTGAGCCGAAGTCGGACGCTCAACCGACTGAGCCACCCAGGCGCCCGATGGTGCCTTACATTCTTAGAGGCACAGACTTTTCTCTCTCACCTCGGGATTTTTTGAGTTGTTGCCTTCACAAAAATGCTGTGACTTCCAACTCTCTTCTCTTAGCCATTCTTATTCATTCCCCAGATCTCTGTTCAGACATCACTGCCTCCAAGAAGCTTTTCCTGATCCCTCAAATCTGGCCCAGGTGCCCTGCTCTATGTTTGCAAGGCCCCCAACCCCCCATCCCATATTCTCCATCACAGCCCCTGCCCCAGCTCATTGTAACTGTCTTTTACTTGAATGCTTTCTCCAATCTTCTATGAGCCTCTGGAGGGCAGGGACTATATCTGTCTTGCTCCCTCAAAGTTGTCTCCATAGACCCTAAAGTTAATAACTCTATGAATGTGATTAAGGTATTACTCAACCTTATTGATATAGTGTATGGTTCATCCATCTCATCAAAACTCAATTAAATCTCAGTGACCGTTAAACCAGGGCTCAGAATGTCCCAGGCAGTGGTGCCTGGCATAGAGTAGATGCTCAATAAATATTTTAGAGCGCATAAATGAGGAGTGGACCACACAGCCTCATCAGGGAAAAAATGTCATTAGCCATTCCTGTCACAGAGGGATCCAATTTCTCCTTCCTCCTAAATACATCCTTGGCTGCTAATCTGAGCATTCCAGAGTGAGACTTAAACTGCCTGAGAAAACATATTATAGGCTATGTAAAGATAAGAGAAAGGTACACATATTTAAATGTGGCCCTTCTTATTTATGGGTGCAAACTTTACACTCAGAAGACATATCTTCTTTATGGCAAAAGCCAAGGAAACAAATATTGGACAGAGAGAATTTTGCAGCAAACATTGCAGAAATGCTTTAATATCTCTGCTACATAAAGAATTCATATAAATTGATTTTTTAAAATTCAAGACCGCAATAGATAAGTAGAAAAAGAATATGAACAGAAAATGCAGATAAGGGGAGGCCTACCTAGTAAATAAAAATGTAGAAAAATATTCAGTCTTGCCAATTAAGACAGTTAGGAGGGATAGGACCTGAGAAAAGGACCAGAGAAGAGAAAAGGTCAGTTGCCCCCGTGGCCCAGCCTCCTTCCCTCACAGCAGGACTTACTTGCTGTTGCTGCTGTGTTTCAATGTGCCAGGTGAGGTGGGTTTGAGTAAGAGCCCTCCGGTCCTTACCACACCAGGAGAGATGCAGAGAGCAACACAGTGACCAAGGCCATGATGTGAATTCAGAGCTGGCAGCCAACGGGGTGGATGGAGACTGTAAAACAGCAAGTAAAGGGGGTAGAATGGCTTACAGGCAGCTTTGCTTATTATAGGATTAAGTGTCAAAGGTGGCTTGCACAGTGCTTAACATGCAGCAAACACTAGAAAACTGTGAAACTGGAAATACAGGATTGCAAAAGGAAGAGGAAGAATCAAAAGGGAAATAAATGAATGTTTGGAAACAAGGTGATCTATTTAAATAGGACAATACCCCAGGGGCTTTATGATTTGCTGTCAGCTTCTGGTTTTGGCTTCTTCGACAACCAGCTGCCTTGTAAGTTTCCCTCAGGTGCACCCACCAGAAGGGAAATGAGACCCATTAATGCTTCATGCCAACATGGTTCACAGGTGCCTTGGAAGTTTGGAAATGCTTCTGAAAAACAAAACAATAACAAAAATATAATTCATCCTATTAAACTCTCAGAACCTAAAAATAAAAATACATTATGTGGTACACCTTAAACTTATACAGTGATGTATGTCAATTATATCTCAATAAAACAGGGAAAAATAAAATAAAAATAATATTTAGTTTGACAAGCTTGGTACAGTATAAATAGAAGTGCAACATTTTTGGAAAGCAGTCCAGCAATATTTATCAAGCACCATGTATCAATTAGTCATTGTGGCAATAATGCTGTGTAACAAACGACCTCAAAAATCTCAGAAATGAAAGTTCCCGGGGGTCCAAGGTGGAAAGTGTATTATAGCCTAAGGCATCCCATGACTGTCAAGGGGGAGCACTGAGATTCCCAAAATGATTCCTCATCTTGTTGATTGCTGAACTCTACCTGCTTGCAAAAATCACTAAGGACCTGAGGTCCAATAATTCATTTTGTGGGGACTCTCATAAGGGTCTGTCTACCTGGGCAAAGGAGATTACGCAGTGCATTGGGATCTAGAGTAAGCAAGAAGGGGAAACTGTCCAATTGATGGGCTCATTTCCCTAGCTCAAAAGTCAATGCATAGAGTTCAACTGACTTCTCAAAATTGCACATTAAAACCTTGCTGAAAGGAACTTCATGGAGTGAGAGAAATAGTCTGTATCTTGAGCAGGGTCAAAAAGCTTTGTATAATTTTGACATCTATCAAAACTCATTAAAATGATCACTTAAGATGTGGGCATTTTATAGTATGTGACTTATTCCTTTACAGTATGTGGTTTAAAAATAAAACCTGTTGAGAATCATCTTACTATACTATTTACGTTTGTATTTTAGAAAACTGATTTTATCTGGCAACAGACTGGCAAAATTAAGGTGAATAAAAAACTATTTATAGTTCTTTCACTTCTGGCCATGATGGAATAACAAGGGCTGGATTTAACCTCCTGCCTGAAATAAACAATTTTTTAAATAGTTTATTGTCAAGTTGGTTCCTATATAACACCCAGTGCTCATCCCCACAAGTGCCCTCCTCTATGAAATGTGAAAGACATTGGATGTTGGACAGTGATGGCTGAGGAAAGGGAAACAAATGAGGTGAGTATTACAATTGCCCCGGCTTACTGCCTCAAGGATGTTTCCAGACCATAGACAAGAAGAGGGGACCAGGCAGAGCCCGGTGAACTTCCTGAGTTTAGGGATCAGAGCTGAGAGCTTGGGGACCTCATGGCATCTATAGAATTCTCTCCATTCAACAACAGCAGAATACACATGAAACATGAAACATATGCATAAAACAAGTATACATGAAACATGCATAAAACAAGTCTCAAATTATATCTGGGACATCAAATAAGCCTCAAATTTGAATGCATTGAATTCACATAATGTATATTTTCTGACCAAAATGGAATTAAATTATAAATCAATAGCAGAAGTCCAAAAATTTATCAAATGTTTGAAAAAAAAAACATACTTCCAAAGAACCTGTGGGTCAAAGAAGAAATCAAAAGTGTGATTAGAAAGTATTTGGAACTGCAAGTATATGAAAACATAACATAACAAAATTTGCAGGATGCTGCTAAAGTTGTACTTCAGGGGAAATTCATAGTACAAATGCCCATATTAGAAAAAAAGAATCTTGGGGCACCTGGGTGGTTCAGTCGGTTAAGTGTCCGACTTCAACTCAGGTCATGATATTGTGGTCCATGAGTTCAAGTCCCATGTCAGGCTCTGTGCTGACAGCACAGTGCCTGGAGCATGCTTCGGATTCTGTGTCTCCCTCTTTCTATCTGCCCCTCCCTTGCTTGTGCTCTCTCTCTCTCAATAATAAACAAACAAACAAAAAAGAAATCTCTCAACTCAATAACCTCAGCCTCCACCCTAAGAAGCTACCAAAATATAAATACATAAAACTCAATGTAAGTAGAAGAATGGAAATAATAATGATTGGAGTAAATATCAGTGAAAAAAGAAACTGAACATAACACAGAAAAAAAAATCAATGAAACTGAAAGCTGGTTTTTTGAGAACACTTATAAACCTCTATCCAGACTAACCAATAAAGAGAGAGAGGAGATACAAATTAGCAATAACAGGAATAAGAGAGGTAAAATCATTATACATTCTACAGATATTAAAATATCATAGTGAATATTATGAGCATCTTTGTAACAGTAAATTTGACAACTTAAACAAAATGGACAAATTCTTTGCATGACAAAAATTGCCAAAATTCACTCAGGAAAAAAATAACCCTAATAGTCCCATATGTTATTAAAGAATTTGATTTGTAGTTAAAACTTCTCCCCTGCCCCTCCGAAAACAAACAAACAAAAAAACAAAAACAAAAAAAGTAAATCCAGATAGCTTCACTGATGAATTCTACCAAATATTTGAGAAAGAAATAGTATTAATTCTACACATAATCTTGAAAAAACTGAAAAGGGACAAAAACTTCCCAGCTCATTCCAGGAGACCAGCACTACCCTGATACCTAAATGCAAACAAAAATCTTGCAAGAAAACTCCAGACTAATAGACCTCATGAATATAGATGGAAACATTTTAACAAAATTTTAGTAGATCAAATCCAGAAATACATAGAAGAATAATACTTTGTTACTAAGAAGAGTCTATCCCCTGAGGACAAGGCTAGTTTAACATTAAAAAAAAAATCATTGTAGCAATGCCTGGGTAGCTCAGACCATGCTGGGCATGAAGTCTATTTAAAAACTAAAATAGGTAATAAATGAATGAATGAATGAATGAATGAATGAATGAATGAAATTCACCATATTAACAAACCAAAAAGAAAATCTGTATGGTCAACTTCAATTGATGCAGAGAAAGCATTTAACAAACAACACAACCATTCCTGATAAAAGACTTTCAGCAAACTAGGAATAAAAACGAACCTCCTTGGGGCGCCTGGGTGGTTCAGTCGGTTAAGCATCCGACTTCGGCTCAGGTCATGATCTCATGGTTCGTGGGTTCGAGCCCTGCATCGGGCTCTGTGTTGACAACTAGCTCAGAGCCTGGAGCCTGTTTCAGATTCTGTGTCTCCCTCTCTCTCTGACCCTCCCCTACTCACGCCGTCTCTCTCTCTCTCTCTCTCTCTCTCTCAGAAATTAATAAAACATTAAAAAAATTAAAAACAAAAAACGAAACTGCTCAATGTGATTAAGAGCAGATCTGGAAACCCTACAGCTAAAATCATTCTTAATTATGAAAGACTGAGTATTTTTTGCCTAATGTTGAGAATAAGATAAAAATATCCAATATCTGGGTGTCTGGGTGGCCCAGTTGGTTAAGCGTCCGACTTTGGCTCAGGTCATGATCTCTCGGTTCGTGGGTTCGAGCCCAAGAGTGCTGACAGCTAGCTCAGACCCTGGAGCCTGTTTTGGATTCTGTGTCTCCCTCTCTCTCTGACCCTCCTCTGTTCTCTCTCTCTCTCTCTCTCAGAAATAAATAAAAAACATTAAAAAATATATAAAGAATTAGATTTTTTAAAAAAATCCATTCTCACCATTTCCATTTAATATTTGGCTATAGGTTCTAGCCAATTTAATAAGGCAATAAGAAATAAGTCATTTAGATGGGAAAAGAAAAACTAAGAGTGTATTTACTCATAGAGAACATGATCATCTATGTAGAAAATTCAATGAAATCTACAAAAATGCTATTAGAACTAATGAGTGAGTTTAAAAAGATTTCAGGATATAAGATCAATATACAAAAATCAATTGTGTTTCTATAAACTAGCAACAAACAATTGGAAGTTGAAATTTAAAAATCAATGCCATTTAGAATAGCATAAAAATTAACTACTTATAGATAAATCTCATGAAAGATGTAAAAGACCTATACAATTAAAACTAAAAAACATTGCTGATAGAAATGAAAGATGACCTAGAGTGATTCTATGCTCATAAATCATAAGATTAAGATGTTAAATGTTGTTAAGATGTTAAATCTCCCAAATTAACCCATAGTAATCACGTGAAATCAAATCACAACAGGCCTTTTAATAAAAATTGACAAACTGATTATAAAAATTCATAGGAATATTAATCCCTTATTGGATATATAGTTTGCAAATATATTCTTCCATTCCATAGACTGGCTTTTCACGTTGTTGATTTTTTCCTTTGATTTACAGAAGCTTTTTAGTTTGATGTAGTTCCACTTGTTTATTTATGCATTTGTGGCCTGTGCTTTTGGTGTTCTACCCAAATAAATCATTGCCAGGACCATGTTACAAAGTTTTTCCCCAAGTTTTTTTCTAGAGGTTTAATGGTTTCAGGTCTTACATTTAAGTCTTTAATCCATTTCAAGTCAATTTTTGTGTATGGTGTAAGATCAGGGTTCAGTTTTATTCTTTTGCACATGGATATCCAGTTTTCCCATCACCAGTTATTTAAGAGATTATCCTTTCCCCCATTGTGTGTTCTTGGTGCTCTTGTCAAAGGCTAGTTGACTATATATGAATAGATTTATTTCTGAGCTCCTGATTCTGTTCTATTAGTCTGTGTCTGTTTGTATGCCAGTACTATACTGTTTTGATTGCTATAGTTTTGTAATATAGTTTGATATCAGGGAGTAGTAGGATGCCTCCAGCTTTGTTCTTTTTTTCTCAAGATTGCTTTGGTTATTTGACGTTTTTGTGGTTCCACATGAATTTTACGGCTTTTTTTTTTCTATCTCTGTGAAAGATAGCAAAGAGTAAAACTGGTTTAAAAATGGGCAAGGGATCTGAATGGACATTTTTCTAAAGAAGATATACAAATAGCCAACATACACAGGAAAATATGCTCACAATCACCCATCACAGGGAAATTCAAATCAAAACCACAATGAGATATCACTTCACACCTGTTAAGATGGGTCATCAAAAAGACAAGTGACGGTAAGTGTTAGCAAGAGTGTGGGGAAAAGGTAACCCTTGTACACTGTTGGTAGGAATGTAATT